AATTCAAACAAACCGTAACTCATGCAATTACCGTCTCTATCGTTAGGGCATATTATGCGGTTTTGCGTTGTATAGACGTACGTACAGGCGGTTGCGAACTAACTGGCGGCTTAGAGCGCTCGCACGGTGCTATTTCAGTCACTGCTACCAAATCCTTTAGAATGGTCGTTTTCGCTAGTCCACGCGGAACACTCAGTAGAACACTCACAGAAAGCGGTGAATGTGTGAAGAAGATATTTTGTCTCCAATACAATTAAAATCTTGGTTCCATGTTTTTTCTGTTTTGGTTATGGAAGTATTCGGTTGGGTAGCTTGCAGTCAATTTGATCACTTTAGGCCCTGAAGATTGCGAAATCCGCCGAAACGTCAGCTTTTTCGTCAACAAAGAATCAAGTAACAACTTCGTGTTTGCTGATCGAGAACACATTGAATTATTTAACAATTGCCAGGTTAACGGAAAGTCGGTCTTGGAAAAGAAACTGAATTTAAATGGGAAAAATTGTTGGGCGAACCTTTGCGCGTCTTTTGCCTTCTTTACAGTTCACAAGCAAGAACAGAGAGCCGATGTACACCATGAAATAGAGGAACAAGAAGTTCATCGAATGCAGCCGTCTTCCGACAGCGTCTGGTTTCAACTGATTCAGAAAAACATCATTGACCCCACTAAAGTTATCATGAAAATTGGTATCAGAATAGCGAAAGCTTACTGTAAACAGTGATCTATGGGGCACGTTTACTTATCCACCCTTCTCAATAACGTGTTCGATAACATTTCTTCTACACACTTAAACTTTAACTTCTACACAACTTTACAAACTTTTATCTCGATCTCTCTTCATACGAGCCGTCCATCTGATTAGGCACTCTTTCACTTTATTGTTCTCCTAGATTGTCCATGTCTTTTCTCTTCGACAGTTCTATCTTTGCTTTCGATCTACACACTCTAGGATCTGAAAAGTATTTGACATTACAATGTTTCAAGTTTTATTTACTGTCTATTCTTTTCTCATCGCGAGGCATTAGGTGAAATACAACCACAAGAATGCTGAGATATGAGCAAAACTCGGAACCTCAAGTGAGCTTCGAACTCGCGATTTCCTTTTCCTAAGCGCATAACAGTGAACCCCTAAAAACAGTAATCACGGCTTCGAGCCACACTTAAGGTTCCGAGTGTTGCTGATATCTCAGCATTCTTGTGGCTGCATATGAGATTTCTCGAATGAATAAACTATGCGGTACAGTTGTGGGCAACGATTCAAAAGAACTTCTATACGCTCTGTGGGCTATCTGACTCTCAACGTCGTTGGGATACAGTCTGTACTCCATCAGCATAAAATGGCTTAGATTAGCGAAGTTCTTATGAGACATGTCATACTGTATCAACCGTAATACGCCGCAAATATTAAAAGCAAAGTATGTTGAGCATGTCTGGAAAGTTTCCATTCGGATTCCGCAATTACTGTTTAGTGTTACGGACGTGAAATCACGGATTAGAATGTTGAAAAATGGTCTGCAGTTCTTTCGTCCACGTGTTTTCTTGCCTATCGCATAACACATAATTATTTTTATACGCTTCGTGATCGGGCAGCCGGTAACTACTGTACATCGATGGGTTTTAAAAGTTCTGCAGAAGCACGACTTTTCCTTAATAGGAGAACAAGAGCATATTTTTGTAATGGATGTCATAATTTGACTCCACTGTTCGTCAAGTCGTCTGTCATGTGCATACGAAAAAAACCACTTAGTAGGGGGCGCTTCCTGGAGGTACACCCGAAATACAACTACAATGATGCTGTGATATTCACAAAACTGGGACCCCATTCGCTACCTTTGAGCCCACAATTAGCTTTGCATGGGACTCGTCTACCCACTGTACCGCCTATGCTCTTGCTTTGCTTTTCTCTCAGCCAGTTTTTTATCTTAATGGTGCCATGACGACTAATCATCTCTCAAGGAAAGGATAACCGGTCCGGGTATTTCCTCGCAAGGAAGAAATAATAAGCAGTAAGTAAAATGCTGAAGATATCTCTGAGACTTCATTTTTCATAACTGATCTGACTGATCCATTTTTTCTATTAAGTACCTCAGTTGCGAAATATAACTTCTATAATGCTGAGATGTTTGCAAAACTCCGAAGCGCAAGTGTCTGCGGTAAGGAATGAACTCGCTATTATCCTTTCCGGAGAGTAACGCGTTCACCACCACACCATGTGGGTCCTTCGCTTCGCCTGTCTCTCAGCTAGTTCTATCGATCGCTGCCATCAGCAATCACCCGTCAGCGGGATTGATCTGGGGGGCCCAAATCGGCAATGAACCCAGTTAAGCTGAGGCTTAGTTATAATCACAATCTCAACCCTTTTATTTACTGCCTTTTTTTTTTTAATGGCAGAACTAGCTGAGAGACAGGCAAAACGAAGGACCCACATGGTATGGTGGTGAACGCGTTACTCCCCAGAAAGGACAATAACGCGTTCGTTCCCCATCGCAGACACCTGCGGTCCGCAACTCTACAAATATCTCAGCATCATTGAAGTTATATTTCGCAATATACCCTGCCATTAAAAAGAATGGGCAGAAAATGAAAAGGTTAAGATTGTCATTACACCTCAATTGTGTCTAACAAAGACAAATCCACGTTTCCATATCTTGTTTTTCTGTCCAATTTACAAACTACGTGGATTTGAAATATGGGCCTTACACTTCTGTCACCAAGTTTCTCATGTCGCTTTCGACCATTAGAAGTGTTGAGGCAAGGAACAAGAACACAGAGATTTTCGTCCTCCTCATTCTAGTCACCTTTTGCCATTACACAGCACATTAAAACAAGGATTTTTTTTACTTATAGTATTTTCAACCGGCTAGATCAATCAAAACTGAAAGTGAATGAGGGTTAACTCGTACGAAACATCATGAATCTCTCAACGCAGGTTTGTAAGATGGATTTGGCGCAACACTTCTCACGAATGGAGTCTGGTAAAAACCTTACGGTGTCTGGTGATAACAGCAAATATCAACTCCCAAAATCGGATGATCATACGAATTCCTGTGCCGTTTAAAACACGCCAAGCTCTTCTAACTAATCATTGCTGTTCTGCAATACTGTCACACTTGCTTTCATTCGTCGACAGCGATTTGAAATGCAGTCTTGACGCGTAACTTAGTGGCGACAAAACAAGCGTCATGAAGCTGATCACAAGTGCCAACATGAACGGCGGGCCGACAACACGAAGTATTAAGCGGTTAGCAAAGTCAATTAGAACTATGACTATCTCGCCACGTAAACAGATAACGAACAAATATTTTTAAACCACCTTCATTCACCCTTTTATTCTCTTTTTATTTCCTTATTTTCCTTTATATATTTATTTCATTACCTATATATTTATTTATTTTGTTTATTATTACTCTCTATTTATTTTATTTATTCTTCAACGAATGCACAACTTTCTTCACGGAATGTACAACATTTTCGGAAACGATTCTTAAGCAAGAAGAAATGTAAGTGATCCAGAAACGAGTAATGTGTTCTTAGAAAGATGATTAAAAACTCAAAATCGACAACGTTACTTGAATTATAACGTAAGATCTAGACTTCAACCGCAAAAGCCTCATTAGAACGAAAATTCACTAACTCAATAGTAAGGTTTCAATAGAGGCTTAGAACCGAAGAATTCCTTCAACAGCTCCACCATAGTTAGCACTTCTTCTCTGCTGGTAACCTGCTGAGCATCAGTGTCCAAAGCACCCATCTTATGGTGATTATTTGCAGCCTAAAACATAAAAGAAATATAGTTGAGAAACTATGCGAAATTTTAGTACTTATGACTACGAGACCCGATGCTTTGTCGTGTCTCATCGTGGTGGGGAATGTTCATGGGTGTCATGTTATGTTTAGTGGTGATTGCTGATCAGCAAAGCCATCCATATTGAAAAAAAATTCAATATTACCATCTGGTAACCCAGCTAAAGGCGAACCAATACAGGAAAGGCCGTCATTTGGAGGAAACTTAGTTGTAAATTGTCATATCTTCCCACGATTCAAAACGCCGTCAGCTGTCTGTGGCGACGACCTGGATACGGTTTGGCGTGAGTTTCACAAGATTCTAGGAAGAAATAAATTTGAGCAAAGAAATTTGCCGGTTATCTTCATGATGACGGGCTGTTAAATGTTTAAGTAAGGAAATGCAAGAAGTCTCTCTGCTCTTTGCATTACATTCTACGAATATCCACATAAACCTTTTTAATCATAGGGAATCGTGTCGGCCAAAGAGAATAGCATAAAACAAGAAAATTTGGAAAATCTGAAGTAATACGGACTTGTACGAAAATCTCAGTAGGCATGTTGTACTGGTTACTTAGTTTTGTAAGTACCTTGGAGTCCACCGTTACGGATGCTGAGCCATGGTACCACAAACAACCAGTGCTAGGCATCAAGATTGGAAGCGTCTTCGAATTTACCCCAGATCCTGGAAGTAGCAAATACAAAACTAAATTCGAATACACTGGAAGTAAAGAATAAAAAAAGATAAGGCCTTCAGAAATGATCAATTCTTGAGATAAGCGCCATGAATTCGACTCCATTTGTGACATCGAAGAACTGATTGAATGTATATTTCGCCAATATAATGGACTTGTGGAAATCTAACAATGTATCATGTCCGCGTTTTTTATCTTCTCTCCTGGTAATTCTTGTGTCAAAATGTCTAACCTCGAAGGGAAGTGGGATTGTTTTGTTCGTCGGATCGAACGAACTCCTCTAGGTATGGCAGGACACCTCTAACCCGACTGCATTACTTATTAGGAACAAGAAGAGAAATTATACAAAAAAACCACTGGAAATAGGTGAATGGTAGAACATGGTAAGATGTACACGACGATATTCAGTGAAGATTTTATCAAGGAATAGAATAGAAACCGTGTAACTCCTTTCTATTTCTATTTCAATTTTATATCGTCAAAAAGAGGCTAAAATTACAAATTAAGACTTAATAAAAACTCTTTCACGTCAATTTTAACGGACCAGCCATAATTTGTAGCCTATCTTCGGCCGCTTCTTGCATCTTCTTCAAACGACGGGCGCCATCCATGGCTGTTGCTGCTTGGCCACTGCAGAAAAGTGTCTAATCTATCTAATCTAATTAGCCAAATATGCAAGTCTTTACCAAATAGGACGTGTAGTAAATGAAAGTAGTAGCTAATGAACACCACTGTAAAACGTTTTGAAGTGCAAACTCAAATAAGAGAGTCCTACTTCCTTTTGTAGAATATATAATTCACTACCTTGTAAGAATCGCCTTGAAACCCAATTTGGCCGCTAGTTCGAGTGCTGTTTTCCAGTCTTTCACCAGATCAAACGCACGATGAAGAGTACAACGAAGCGGTCGAGCAGCTTGTATGAGTCGACAACAATTGGCTTCGTCCAAAGCTCCGCTACTGAAAAATCAGTGGAAGAAATCCGCGATTTCTCGAAAGCCAAAAAATTAGCATTCATAGCTTAACATGGTAAACAAGTAGATAGACTTTGCTTCTCAGTTCATATTCTTCTTGCAACTCACACATCTTCCAAACGTCAAGTTCGAAATGGGAACAGTTTTCAAAATCAGCTAAATATCTCTGCCATAGGTAGAGAATTAAGACCGCTCATTCATTGTCCAAGTTTCAGCTTCCCGAATGCGATCACGAAAAATCCCTTGCTTGTCCATAAAGAAATAAAGTGCACGATAAAATGGAGTACAACATCCATAAGTCTGAATTCAGAAAAAATGAACTTGATTGGTTGTTCCACTGGTTCCATTTATAACCTCCAGTGATGTGTTGTTTTCGTAACACCACTGTCAAATATCCTTTAGTGCTGTAAGGAGGAGCACAATACAGTTTGACTCTTCTATAAATATCCCTCATGTGTAAGCATTTGGAGTTATATTCCATATTTTATAACACTTTTCTAAATCTTTTCTATATGAACTGATTTCAAATAGTGTCCGGATCCGAGCACATCTTCCATTCGGTTCGTTGCCTTACATCCGAACTCCACATAGGTTTTCAGATTTGTGTGCGGGTTCGGTCGGCTTCAGCCTGAGGTTTTGTCCTCTTCATGAATGCCTTTGAATACTAGTCGATCATCTTTTTTGAAAATAGTCAGCTAAAGAGCTCCGAAGTTTTCACCACAAGTAGTTGACTGCTTTATGGATCATAAAAAACCTTTTTCCAGATCAACCTGGTACAGATCAGCAACAACGGAGGAATGATGGGGTTAGCTGACCCGATAAGAGGTCGGATCAAAGATTACTCGTAGTTTCTTTAGAAGACTCTGTTATACACGGACTATATTCATTATCCTCACAAATCTGTCATTCAAGAAATCCCTTCGCAGTCGTGTGCTTGCTTGGTACTATCTATCTATTGTGTACTGAAACGTTTTGTGCTAAAAAGCGGAACGTCTCACCTGTTCAGGACTCCAAACACAAATCCAGTAACGCCGATGCCCTTCATGGCTCGTAAATCCTCCAACATAACATCAATCTCGTCTCCCGTATATATGAAGTCACCACTTCTTGGGCGGATCATAACAAACAGTGGTATCTGCGGAAAAGAAGCGCGCAGACGTCGTACCAGACCTATTACAGAAAACTCTAGCTCAATACAAAGCAGTGCGCGCTTAGAAGGTCATCAAGTAAACACCATAGGAAATACCTCCTACGTGATTAGACTAAAAGGAGAAGAGAAACGAAGCAATAGGGAGATTTCGGTGTGAGGTCGAACGGTAAATTTTAAAATATTCGTGAATAAGCAGAAAGTTTTAGAAAGGTATAGCTGTATAAATCCTAAAAAATTAAAGTGACAAGTTTAACTTCATGCGAAAGGACCAAGAGATGGGATTTGTTAACCAACTAAAAAGTAGCAAGGCTGGTAAAAAGAAGATATGATAACCAAATGCAAGATTCAACTTTCCGGTACAAGCTGATTCTGAACATATTAAAACTTTTAACCAATAAGCAAATTAGAGGAAAAGTTTTTAACATACCAATAGAAGGTGTTAGACCACCCAATGAGAGGGCACTGCAAACCTCAAGCTGATGAGCTCCTAATAATGAAGTCTATTATTTTTTAAATGCCACGAAAAACAAACAAGGTATTAGTGCTTCCTTTCCTCAAAGTGACGGTTGCCTTCCACTTACCTCCATCAACAGCATTCACGGCAGATTCATATGAATCAACACAAATCTCTAACCTCCCAGACATCTGAAAACACCAAGGATCTCAATGTGGACCGACTTTCATTAAAATTCGGTATAAATGATCAATGCACGTTGTTTCATTGATAAGTTAACACAGAGTAGATAAAGAACTTCATTCGGCTAGCGTTCTGACGTCTCTTCGTCTTCTTCAGAGCCGATGATCCGAGTCGATGGTCCACAGTTGTTCGTCTTTTAGATGTGGCATCTTCGTCGTCATTCCAAGTTGGATCTTCCTCAGTGGAGCACCATTGGACGAATTATCCGTTGAAAAACAAATTCTTGTCAACGGATAGTTATATCAACAACAACCATCCTGTATAAAAAAGCGTTGTCGAGTTTGGTATGGTCTTTCGAGTGGTGCTCCACTGAAGAAGATTTGTTTCGCTACGACGATGAAGACGCCAGATCTGGAAGGCGAACAACTGTAAACCATCCAGTCAGATTATCGGCTTTGATGAAACAGTCGAAACGTTAGTCGAATAAATATGTGGTAGCAACCTCGTGTTAGCTTATCAATGAAATAAGGTACAAAGCAACTCGTTCCCATCAAGAAAACCACCACCTCGATCGGTGAGTATTAGAAAAAATTGTTAACTCACCCTCTGATGAGCTGACTTTTAGGTTCTTCACAAGACCTTTAGATTCCAGTCTCGAGTATACAACGAAAACAGCAGCAACAATAACAACAACAACAACAGCAACAACGACACTGGAACGTCGGGTAATTACGTGATTAAGCAATATTGATAAACAATCTGCGACAATAACGAATGCACATTCTAAGGTAAATAGATATGATACAGCGACTTAAGAATGCCATCTCAGAACATTTCTTAAGGGTAAGCGAAAATCTTACGTCGACGAATTTTACTCGGTAATCATCAGATAATTGCGTTAACAGAAAGTCGGTTTTTGAAATATTGTGATGCTCTGTGCTAACTGATAATGATACCAACTGCTGCAGGAAAGTGCCCTGAGAAAAAGAAACGATTATCAACGGACGATCAGTATCACCAACACTGCTGTATAAAAGAATACTGCCGACCAATACAACTAGAATGATGCTGAGATATCTGAAAAACTCCTGACCAGAGGCGTCTGCGGTGGGGATCAAACCTCGTTATTGACTTTTCCGGGAGCTAACTTGTTTACCACTATACCATTTATGTCCTTCGCTTCCCCTTTCTCTTAGCCATGTTTTATTGGCGCAACCAGCAGTCACCCGTCAACGGAATTGATCTGGTGAGCATAACTCTGCATTGAACCTACCAAAGCTGAAGCTGTAATATAAATCACAATGTAACCACTTTTTGTTTACTGCCCATTCTTTTTTCATAGCAGGGTATGATATAAAATAAAAATACAAGGTGCTGAGATATTGGTTCGATGTGATATATAGATATATTTAGATATGCAAGGTTCGATTTCCGCCGTAGACACCTACGGTCCGGAGCGTTGCAAATATCTCAACATCACTGTGGTTGTATTTCACATCATATTCTACCAAGAAAAAAGAACAGGCAGTGAATAGAAAGTGCTTGCACTGCCGAGTAAGGTTACTTTGATCGGCCAGCGCTCCACTAATTTCAATTCGATGCAATCACGAAGACCCATATCAGAAGAACGAATAACTGTGGATAATCGATGCGGATCAGTCCAGCTCTGAAGAAAGCGAAGGCGCTGAAACGTTAGATAACTAAGTTCTCTAATCCACATAAAGTCTAGCTGATTTCTTTACAAGCACTTATTCAGTCAAAGTTGCTCACAAAATTGACGACTTTGATTTGAATCCGTAGTTTTATTGACAAATTTACGGCAGACTGCTACTAATCTTTATTATCGCTAACGTTTCGGCAGTATCGCCTCCATCAAACCCACGGTGATTTCAGTCGAGTGTTCACAGTTGTTTTTTATTGCGATGTGGCTCTCTGTAGTCGTCACAACGAGTCGGATCGAGTATAATGGAGAAAAGCACGAGCGAAGTAACGCCACCCCCGGTACTGTCCTCTTATAGAACTAATGGACAAGGAACTTGCCGCGCTGAATTGGCCTGACCTCACTGACAACTTGAGCCAAGACGTTGTTTAGAATCGACTCATAACAACATTTACAACAAAAATCTACATGTCAGCATGTCCAATGCTTCCTAAACCACAATTATTTCTTATTGGTACTCAATGTTCGCCAATACTGGGAAAAACGCAATCTGTTGCAGTGCGTGAATAACTGCTGTTGAGCGCTTCGTTGAATGCAAAATTAGCAGAAATAATGTTCTAAACACAAGTCATTTAATGTTTCTACCGAATGTCCTGGTAATTCAGAAATTCTTGGAATTACGTCATCGGTATGCTATGGACTAGCAAATCTTCATCAAAAACAGTTGGCTACTATTATGGAGCGAAGAGAGGTGGCGGTTAGGCTTCATTCAAGATGGCAGCGCGATTCTACCACAACTCCATTAACCGACCAAGGTCGATGTGATAGGGAATTCTTCAGGATGAATTATCCTTCTATCAACGTGTTCTCTACGATCTAAAGTAGAAAACCAATAATCTGAAGTACTGCTGCTCACTGTAAAGATATCGGAGCTATCACAAATTTACTGTATGACGTTACGGAGATCAAAACCTATTTTAACCTGAGTTTCTAGCGCATTTTTCCACAACTACCAACAAATGTGATGAGAAGGCACATTGACATAAAAGACTTGTATTACTACTTTCTCTATTAAATATTTCCTGGTTCAGCTCAGCCATACTGCTTATAATCGAATAGTCGGCGCATAATATTAATAATTTCTATTATACAAAAGATTTGCGTTCTGTTATCTCGGATATATATCAATAACTCTCGATCGTTTGGCCAACTAGATGGAATTTTTGCTGCGGTCCCTGAAGAATACTACGAGCAAGTCCACCTACAAAATAGCGAACATCACTCCTTTCCACAAGGACCGAAGGCTTGTTGTGGTGAAGGCCTGGAAATTTCCTAACACCGCATCCTCATGTAGGGATTCCACGGAAAATCACGCTCAATCAGCAATCAGAAAAGTTGGTGAGGACAAAAATGGATAACACATCGTCACGAAATTCTTATCCGAACCCAACCACTTCTATAGGTGATGCTTATAAGACTATGAAAAGTATTGAAAAAGTGCTACGATCAGTAGAACATGTAAACGACTGGCTACACAAGTGTGTAGGTAAGTAACACAGAAATATCAAAGCATAGCAAGCGTGGTTGACTAGAGGAAGCCCCCAATGTAGATCCTAAAATAAATGTTTATGAACATTTGTATCACCTGCCACCTGTCGTCCTGTTGATCGTCGAGTGACTTCAGCAAGCACCAGTAAATCTGTCATTTCTCCTTGTCGCATGAAGGAGTACTCCAGTGGGTTACGCTAGCTTTAGATACACGTTGAGTATCATACCTTTCTTCAAACGTTTTCATGAAGAACTCTGATCATCGGGTCGGTGGTCTTTCTGCAGTACGTTTGACATCTCGATGATTCCACTCAGAAACGGAACTTGTCTATCCGTTGTCGCTCATACGCATTAAGTGTCCGGCCCACCCTATCTTCGATTGTTTGGCATACAAAACGGCATCTTATTTTTGATCGTCGACGTCGGTTAGAGTTTCGGACCCCTCCCTAACTTGCGTGATACGGGATACCCCTAGCATCATTCTCTCGACTGAGCGTCCTACAACTCTTAGTGGTCCTTCATCCTGCCTACGTAGCGACCATATTTCTGGCGCATAGACAAAACGGTCTCTTGCACTCTCGCGATACTTTGTTTTGCAATCGTGTGCATGCGGTCCATCGTCCTCAATCCTTCTCGAAACCATGCTTGCTCATATGGCTGACCTTTGTCCAGTGTTCTTTCAATCCTGTTTAGGATGACTCGAGTGAAGAATTTGTACATGACAAACAGCAAGCAGATGGGGCAACAGTTTCCGATATCGTGGAGTTCATCCTTCCTGAACGATAGCACGGTCTTACTGGCCTTCCACTGAATGACGACCTTACATTCGGACAGGTAACGTGAGAACAGCCGAGTCAGTATGCCTATAAGGGATTGGTGGAAGGTTCCTCAGATGTTCAGATCTTAGCATGTTCGGACCTGGTGCTGTTCAATTCCTCACCGACGAAAATGCATTCCAGATATCGGAAGGGAGACTGTGGTATAACATATCCATCTTTATTTCGTATAAGGACAGGAGGACGTAGCTATTGAAGAGATCCAAGTAATAATCATGAATGGTTTTCTCCACTCCCTTTTTGGAAACAGTAGTTGTTCCGTATGAGCGTCGAAGTGCAATCATCTTGG